GCTGGGCCGTTGCCTGCGGGCAGGGGAAAGAAGAGGTCAGAGCCCGGCCACCAGCACAGTCGAGGCTGGCACGGGCTCCCCCCACCCCGCTCTCACCCTCGGCGCCCTTCTGCCCGCCCGAGGCCCAGTGCAGGTCGCTGATGGACTCCACGGGGCGCAGGCTGATGGCTCCAGGCTCGCTGCCGTCAGGGTCCCCAGGCTCTGCTGGCGTGGCACCCTCGGCCCTTCCCATGCTGTCTGCTGGGAGTGGAGGCAGAGGGTGAGCGTGGGCCCTGTCCGCAGCCCCTGCCTGCCCCAGGCACCCCTGCGGGGACCAGACCCCTCCCAGAGGTGACCCCGGCTTTGACACCAGTCCGGTGCTGTGCCGGGGCTGTCAGCCAACGCTGGCGTTCCCTTGGCACAACTCTGCGGCCGCCGGCGGGTGAGCACTGGTTATGGCCCCCCCCAGCCCCGGCGCTGTCATCGGAGCAGTTAGCGGGCACCTGGTGGCCATGATCCCAGAGCCTCATTAGTGGGGCTGGAATCTGCCCCTGGCTTGGGGGCAGGAATGTGCCAACCCCCCGGCCCGGGTAGCCTGGGCACCGCGGGGCTGGCTGGGGCTCCCCGGGGCCAGCTGGGAGCTGGTGGGCAGGGGCAGGGCAGTGCCAGCTCCAGCCCGCAGCACAGCTTGGCTCTCCCTGCGGGCACCGTGCTTGTGTGCTGCTTAGGGGTGCATGGATGGAGATGCGGGGTGCGTGCTGTGCCAGGGGGTCCTGGTGCCCACCGCCCAGGGGGGCACATCCCCCATGGGAGCGAGAGGGCTCTCTGGGAGCAGGTATGGCTCCAGCACTGTCTTGGGAAGCGACCGTGCCCATGCTGGGGCAGACGGAAAGGATTTTTTTCTGGGCGTTTGAGCATTTTTGAGCAGCAGGCAGGGCCCAGGCACTGTGCCCGTGGTGGAGCAGGGCAGGGTGGACCCGTGGCCGCTGCCAGTCCCTCCCGGGGTCAGCAGCATGTCGCAGAGCCACATGGCGCCACGCCGCTGCCATTGGGGTGGTGCACGCCACCAGCGGGGTTTGCAGGCGCCAGGGCTGGGGGGCCTTGGCTGGTGCCCAGGGCCCCCCCGGACACTCCCCAAGGGCCCTGCCTTTGGCTGGGGGCTGGCCCACAGGTATCCTCATCACCCCTGGATCTGATCCCCTCCCCGGACGGGGGGCATATCCGGGAGCATAGGTTTGGTGTCAGGGGCTGT